GCGGCGCGTCTCGTGGGGTAGACTAACAAAACATTAAACTACAACGTCACTTACATCATCATCACCACATCTCGTGCTCCACTGATGACGCTCCCTGATGCACACCTAACATTCGATTGTACTATTTTTGCATTCAAATGCAAATGTTTATTTTAATTTCGACTAATATACATTTTTTTATTCACAATCTCCTCATCACAGACAGGCACAGCACTCATGTTCGTGTTTGTGTGTGCTGTCTGCATCACTCATAGCACGTGCCTATATCATGCACTATATTGAACATTTGTTATATCGTTATCGAAGAAGGTGTACCATCGATAAATATCGATACCGTTTTATCGCCCAGGCCTAGTAAGGACATCGATAAAATAGTCAGTGTGACATCAATGGTTCAATCGTAATTTTATGACGCTATGAGAATACTTCTTGTGCACAAAGAAAACAAAAATAATGACATTATTCAACAATTTCTTCTCTTTTGTGTCAGTCTTCATCTTCATCAAAAAAAATTTAACAGATGTCACATGAACTATTTTAACAAAGTCCTTACTACCTTTGTAGGCCTTTAATGTGGTAGTTGTGTTGTTGTCTATGCAGGGTCAGAAAGCTCTCTGATTTCATCAAAAATATCTTAATTTGTGTTCTGAAGATGAACAAAGGTCTTACGGGTTTGAAATGACATGAGGGTGAGTAATTAATGACAGCATTTTCATTTTTGGGTGAACTATCCCTTTAAGCATTCCCCACTTCCTCAAGACCAATTATGGCGCTTTTCCACTGCGTGGTACGACTCGGCTCGGCACGGCTCAGTACGGCACGGCACGGCTCGGTTCGGCTCGGTTTGCGTTTCCACTGCAGTTTAGTATCGCTTTAGTGTGGGCGGGATTAAATCACATGTCGTTATAGTTGTGCCGCCTCTACTGCTGCGACTCTTGAAAAACTTTTTCATTCCGCGTCGCCCCTTCAAGCTCTCACTGGATCCGCTCCTCTGCTATCAACGAGAGCAACGTCTGTACTTCCTCAACAGGGGGAACAGCCACTTTTTGGTTGTTAAAAAAAGGTGTGCTCGTTCAAAACAGTTGCGTTCGATCCTTCGCTGGCTGTGCTGATTTAAATCTAACGGTTCTGTTGTACTGTCCCCAGTGGAAAACCCCCCAAAAGTGAACCGTACCGTGCCGTACCATGCAGTGGAAAAGCGCCATTAGTTAACTAGCCTTTAAGGCAACCCAATGACTAGCCAATATTGAGAATCTATAGTTTTGCTACTACAGAAGACGTTTAAGTTTAAGATATCACAGATTGAATACAGATATCCTACCCGCTCTGGTCTTCATGACTGTACTGTAATAACTCGACGGGAAGTCACTGATGGTCACAATTTTCTCAACTCTCTAATGACACATAATGGCTTCGGATAACTGCTGCCAGCACTGTCATTTAGTGGCAACTGGGAGACTAAAGAGAGGTCCTCAAAGGGGTAAACAGATAGCATCCTCAGAGGAGGGAAAAAGCAATGATGCTCTTAGCACAGAGGTGACAAAAGTGGAAATGAAACTGAGAGGTCAAAGTCTTCTATATGGAACTGATGTATCATGTGGCCCACTGGCGTTACAGATAATCTATAAAGTGCCATAAATTCAAGACCCCGTCAACGGTCTGTATTCTTGCTAATGGTCTGGGTGCCCATTACCGTCAATCCTCCATCAAAGCGTTCCCCTTAACCTCACACCTACATCTCTCCACATGAAGGGTTCAAGGTCTGTCAGACTTTTTCCATTGTTGTACATCATCAGAACGGCCAGATCTCACAAAACCACGAGCCATACCTCTCGTGCCCAGATTCAGAAAAGAATTGCTCTAAATTCAAGCGATACCAGCCTGTGTTGCTTTGCTAAGCTGTGAACATCTGCCTGATCTCAAGGCTGTTATTCGGCCGGATATCACCTGTGCTCACTCCTATAAATAACACGGCCTCTGAGAGCTGTCAGGGACCGGCCATCCATTCCCCAGAAGCAACTGTGGCCAACGCTCAACACAACGTTCAGCTGCCAACACACAAGAGAAAAGCAAAAACAGACAACATGAAGAAACATGCTAAGGATAGAGCAGTCACAAAAATTTTGAGATGCATAATATATAAGTACCATATCGATTATAAGACAATATTACAGATTATTTTATTTATCGGTAACATTCCATTTGATATACCATATATATTATTTATTTATATATTTTAAATATACATTTTATATATTGTATACATTTTAGCCAACATTTAATTGCATATGCTTTTTATTTTATTTTACTTTTAGTTTATTTTACATCTAGTCAGGACTAATAGGAGGTAAAATCATAATTACCTCAATTAAATTTACATTAAATTAGAATATATTTTTTTATTATCACACGGACGCATCAGTTAAAAAATGTTGTTGTTGTTGTTGTTGTTATAGCCAAAATTAAAGTTGTAAACCATCGGCATTGTTTTTATTGTTAACTACAACTATAAATCTGTAGCTGAAATCAAGCTGAAAAAAATATATAGATATTAGATGAAAAAGTTAAAATACTAAATTACTCAATTGAAACCGAAATAAAAAATGCAAAATGGAATATAAAGCTAAAATAAAGCTTTATATAAATAAAAATAAAGCTAAATGGAAATATATATAAAATAAAACTAATAAAAATGACAAAAGCACAGAAAATACCAAAATTACACTATTAAAAATGAAATATTAAAATATAAATATAAAATCTAATTCAAAATCTTAATACTTCAACAGTTTTAAATAACATTAAAAGAACGTGGACTCATAATCAGAATTAAAAAAAAAAAAGTAACAAATAAAACAAGAAATGCAAGTGCTGTCATTTAACACCGTCTTATAATGAATCTTTAAACACTATTTTATATTACATTTTATAACACTGTTAAATGTAATCTTTGGCAAATGTTATCTTTTATGCTGTACATTATACTGTTGTGATGCCCAAATTCACTTGTAGCATTTCAAACTATTACTTGCATTTCTAGCGTGTATTTATATTTTTATCGCATTTCATTTTAATATTGGCTACAGCATTTTAAAATAATAATAATATCGGTGCATCCCTATGAAACTAGGTTGAAAATATGATCAGAACAAATACTTTAACATCAAGTAACCTCAGTGTACACTTGAAATGATCCAGGTTAAACCACGTCACGATGGTTTCTTTCCAGATGAGCCCGACTCAAAAAAAAAGTTTTCGAAAAAAGCTGAGGGATCAGGTCTGGCCTTTGTGAAGGTCAGTTGAATTTTTCCACAGACTCAGTAAAGCATTTCAGTATGCACCTCGCTTCAAGCACAGGGGTATTGTCATGCTGGAACCGCCACAGCGGCTTGAATCCGTCGGAGGCACCGAAGCGGCACGTCATCTCTGAATGTTCACTTACACGGACAATCAGCCGCTGTGCGCGATACTAAACTCCAGCAATGGTAAGATGGGAAAATAACTCGCTATCCCACTTTATTTACTGTGCCAATAGCTGTATAGTTGCCTGGCTAGTGAGTGTGAGAGCTCTGTATTTACCGGACCTGAGAGAGTCAACAAACCGCTGCCATTGACCTGCAGAATATTCCCACCTCGCCGTTATTATTTAAAATGGTGCATCTAATTCTCCTGCATTCATAGTGGTTTCTGCAGCGGCTCTGGCTCATTATTCTGCATGTGCTGGTTTGGTTGATCGGCCTCATGGGCTGAAATGCCCACCGTTCTGAGCACTGCGTTAAATCCTGTGCTTTCCCAAATAAGCAGCTTAGGAGAAAACCTTTTTACTTTATCTAACAGGAATAATTATGACAATAATGTCACTTTAATGGAGACGGATAAACCATACAATTTAATACATCATCATCATCCAACTGTTTGGTATGGAAGCTTGTTTCCACTACGGAATAAAAAAAAAAAAAGAAAAGATAATTGCTTTTCATCTCACAATTCTGACTTTTACATCTTGCAATTTTAACTTCTTTTTCTTTCTTTTTTTTTGCTCTTGGAATTCA